TCTCCCCGCAACCAAGGTACATGCCCTTGACTGGAATTGAACCTGGGAGCTTTCAGTCCACAGGCCAATGCTCTATCCACTGAGCCAAACCGGTTCGGCAAATCCCTTTATTTTTTTTAAAAGTTTTAAGGATGCAAGGCTGTGAGGCTAGTCTTACAGCTTCTGCAGTTAAGTGCAGGCAGGGAGAGGTCTGTTAAGGTGGGGACAATTTGCTGAGGCTGTTGCGCAGAGATAAGAGAGCTTCCCCTACCCCCGCCCCCCTAGTCTAGGTAGGAAGGTCCCTTGGGGGATATGACATTTGTGAAGAAAATAATTTTCCTCTCCCCTTCTAAATTCTGCAGGACTTATAACCAAATGAATATGAAACAGATTAACATTAACAGGAGACAATGTGTACGAATGTACATGGGGGGGTGGGGGTGCCATAAGAATGGGACCGGAAGATGCACTGAGCAGTCGAGGTTCATATGCCATTTTGGACCGAGGAGAAGGAGGCAGGGGTCTGGGATTTCAGATGGAAAGCAGGTGATTTACAGGTAGATGGGGAAAGAGCAAACATGTAAACAAATTTTTGCTGGACCACCCAGAAACAATGGGACACAGAGGCAAATACAGCTAACGAGCTTTGCTAGATTTCTTTAGTTTATATTAGGATGCTAAGTGATGCTCCCTTCCTTTAAGCAGGTTTTTCCAAGCAGTGAAAGGAGAGGGTCAAAGGTTCTGAGTCTCTTGTTTCTTAACAACCAGTTTAAAAATCAATATCCAAAAAAAGCATATTTTGGGGTACAAAACTTTGGTGTCTCCTTCACATTACACTTGTTTTATGACATCCATTGGATTAGATGGTGTGGAAGATATCCATACCTGTAGCCTCCATGGGCCTCAGGCACTTGGGACCTTCATTCATTCAACAGCTATTTATTGAGCTGTGTCCACTGCTGTTCTAGGCACCTGGATACATCAATGAGTGAAACAGACAACAATATTTGGTGGTTTAAACCTTAGGTGCCTAAGAATCACCCAGAAAGTCTCCTTACAGAGCAAAGCCCAGCCTCACCCTGGAAGATTCTGTTTCACTAGCCTATAGTAGGTCTCAGGAGTGTATATCTTTAAGAAATATGCCCTGGCTGGTATGGCTCAGCGGATAAAGCATCAGCCTGCGGACTGAAAGGTTCTGGGTTCGATTTAGGTCAAGGGCACATGCCGGGATTGTGGGCTTGATCCCCAGTAGCGGGTGTGCAGGAGGCAGCTGATCAATGATTCTCTCTCATCACTGATGTTTCTATCTCTCTCTCCCTCTCCTTTCCTCTCTGAAATCAATAAATATATATTAAAAAAATAAAAAAGAAATATCCTGGATGCTGTGGGTTTTCCTGGATCTCAAATTAAGTAGCTCTGCCTTTGGAAATTCCATAAACATTTACTGAATCAAACTCTTGAATTGTGCAGGGCTGTAAGATTCTGATTTGTGGATATTTTTACGTGAAAACTTTATTTCAACACTAGACAGCCTGCTCTGCCAAAAAAAAAAAAATAAATTCATGTCATTACAATGTTACGGCTATGTGTTATTATCCCTGATTTAACTTCCTCTTCTCCTGCCCCTGCCTCAAATAGAAAACAATGTAGTAAAAGAAAATTATTTTCAGCCAAGTTTTGTAAAAGTCCTCTTTGTCTGGGTTGGTTTAGGGCCTCAGTAGCACTCTAACACCTGTTTTAAACAAGGATGCTCTGAGAAAGATTGAAGTTCTGGGGCAAGCCTGCTTTCCTCATAGGAAACACTTCAATTAGTTATTTATCACCAGGGAGGCTCCCCAGGGTGGAGCCTAATTGTTCTATGAGGCAAATACTCGAAGTGGCTTATAACTTGGGAAGAGGACAGAGGGCAAGTGGTAATGGCCCAAAGGAGCTGCTCATGGCATTTTTGGAAACGAATTTAAAGTCTTCCTTTCACAAGAAAAGGCAGCTGAGTCTATACAAGATACTTTATGCTTGCCTTGCTTCCTAATCCCATGTTAATTTTAAAATAATTTTTCCCTAAAGTCTTCAAAAGCAAAGAACTGCCTTGCAAGATAGATATTTCATAATTAAAATGGGTGTGTACACAAGGTGCTGAAACAATGTTCAACGAGAAGGGGAAGAAATGGCCACTGATGCTTTCTTTTGCTTTGATGTACCCTTCCATCTCCTAGGGAAGGATGGTGACTAGGTGAGCAAGCACAGAGGTAAGGAAGTGTTATCATCATAATCACCTCGTTATTAATATTAATAATGGGAAGAGAGCCAAGGGGAGGCCAGACATTGTAAGCATGGTCATCCGGGCAGCTTCACCAAGAAGCTACAGTTTCACCATCCCCAGGGAACCACCAGTTCATTCCCTGCAGATCAGGGAAGGAATCAGGGATCAGAGGGGGAGATGGGGCGTGCACAGTGAAGTCTGGGTGATGTAGGGAAGGTGCTTGCCTGTCAGTTTAGCCTGGGGAAAAGATCCCATTGGCTAGGAGGGTGAAGCCACTGCGAGCACATGAAATCTTGGAAAGGTAAAATCCCCAAAGAGTTCCCTCTCTCCTGCCTTCTGGTTCCCCCTTACTCTCTCTTTCTCCATGACCTTCATTTGCCCACCATGTGGCCTTAACCAGCCACATGGCTCTGACTATGCGGACCCCACATGCAATAGACTAACGCTGGAACGCAAGCTAACCTAGCCAAATGCTGGACTGGACTGGACTGGACTGGACTTTCATATGGAGCAGAAATTCTGGGCAGTGGCCTGAATTCGGACTCTGTGAATACACGGTGGGACTTTTTCCATGGCAGGACAGACAGAGATGGGACCTTGAAGGGGAACCCCCTTAATTTTACATCATTCATAACCCTTTCCACAAAACCCAGTCCTCCTGTGGAGATCTCAGGAGAGTATTTCCCCCGTGGCACCTCAAGAACTCCACGTCCACGGATAACAGAAGGAGGCTTTATGGTTTGATAGGCCCTGAAAAGCGGCAAGCAGGCCACTGGCTGTCGGGGTGATGTGGGGTTTGGGGGCCTTCCAAGCTTTTGTAAGAATGATAACAAATATGTGCTAATAACTCCAGCACCTCCCTTTCTGTCACTAATTCTAAAAAGACAGAAGCAAAAAACTCAAGTCTTACCTACGCAGTTGGTTTGGGAATCAGAGGAAGAGAAGCAGTGAGCTTTCCATCTTTTATGAGAATGAAGAATTATTGGAATGGGATGCCAGGCTTCGGGGGTTTGTTGTGTGTGATCTGGCGAGCACCCTAAACCCCCAGCCTTGATAGGGAATGGGATAATGACACATGTGACGTGTTTGGAGAACCAAGGGTGACAACAGGTTGTACAGGAATAAAACATTTCTTACAGCTGGTAAGGCCAGAGTTACATCATAATCATGATACCAATTTCTATAATAATCCTCCACAATTTTATAATGAAACAGTATTAAAAGTGCAAATCCTGAGACTGTCTAATCCATTAAAATATGCTCTTTGTATAATTTCATTTGAAGTCTACTTTACTTAAATTCTAGCCCAAATTGACAGTGTATTAGATAATATTTAGAATGTTTGTAAAATGTGCTTAGGAATTCTTTTACTCTGAAGTATTGTAGCTGTTCCAATATTACAAAACACAGATTTCTCCTAATACAATAAAAAATAATCTTTAGTTGAGCATAAGAGAATTTCTTAATGTTATTTTTAAAGGTGAACAAGGTAGATATGCACAAAATGATGAGGAACTGCCAAAAGCAATGTTTTTTCAATGAGAATCTTCATGGAATAGTGTGGTCTGTTATGCTAAGATTCTAGTTAACCATTCATTTATTTCACATTTTTGAATCCTCAAATAAAATAACTTATACACAC